CTCCACCTTTTAGATGGTAGCGGTGTGAACAAGCCGTGGCTCGGGTGGCTGAGTTCCTTGATGATCTTCTTGGCGTTCCTGTGACACCAGGTGCTGTAGATGTCCTGGAGGGCAGGCAGTGTGCCCCCGATGATGCGTTGGGCCAGATATCCATGGTTCTGCTGTTTCAGTCTCCTGGAGCAGTGTGCTTGATGCAATACCAGTGTTGTGGGGTTTGATCCCTCCTGCTGGGCCACATCCACTGATAATGAACTACAAGTCATCGTCATCATCATTTGTGATGGATGTCTGATGTCTGATTGGCTCCCCATGGCTGTGCCTCAGATCCAGAAAGATGGGGCATCACACAGTTCTTCTCCCAGAGCCCCAGGGGCCCAGGCTATGAGGATTACAGTGTGTTAAAGCCTGTTCCCACTGACAATGACTCATGCAGCCTAATGATACCAGTGCCCATTTCCAGACGCCTAGTGGTGCTAATTGCCCACTGTTTGGTTTCATACGGAGCTGCCAGCATAGAGATTACCCTGGCAGTGATTGAATGGGTAAAAGAGCAGCCTTTCTGGGAGGGTAGGAGTCTTTATGTCTGTATGATGGTGAATGTGCGCTTCTCTGTGACTGCCTATGTTTTCATGAGTAGGAACATGTGTGTGTGTGTGTGTGTGTGTGCTGCACGTGCACACACACACACACACATCCACACAAAGGTTCAGCTTGAGTTCCTGTGCCCTTTTGTCCCAGTACTGATATATTATTTACCCGACGATAAACAGATCCGGAAGACAGATGGGAAGGAGTGTGTGTGCGTCTGTGTGTGCGCATGCGCTCATCTGTGTGTGTGCGTGTGGGAGTTTCTGTAAGAGGAAATGTCAAGTATGTCAGACATACCACAGGAAAGGAAAATGTTTGCTCTCAGGGCGAGCTCAAGATCCCTTCAGGTTAGACTAGTTATCTCAGTAGTAACTTTAGTAGTACTTCTCACTGCTTTCTCTTTTCTACTCTTTCCATTCTCTTTTCCTTTTATCTTCTCTCTCTCTTGTCATCTTGTTCATGTTCTCTTATTTTATTATTACTAGAAATAGAAAATATGTTAAGTTGTTGAGCAGTGGATTTTGGAATTTACCATCTCTTTACCTAAATGTATCACATCCTTGAAGTGTTGCTGTGTCTCTGCATATCAGTAAGAAGTGGACCAGGTCAGTCATATCACTTGTGTCACCGTACTTTAAAACCTCATGGCTAAGCAAGACTAGCACCTCCATGGCTGTGCTCTGTGATTCTGACTCAAGTGACAGTTGTCACTCAGTGGTGTAGTCTATGGTTCCTATTCCTCCACCACTCCATACTGCCTCTTCTGTCTTGCTGAAATCAGAAGTGGTGTATGATGTGTAACAGAACCGCATTGATCAGCTGTTAGCAATACTGCAGAGAAGAGACAGGGGTGAGAGAGTGGGAGATCATTTTGCAAGAGAGGGATAGAGAAAGAAGGAGAGAGAGAAGGAAACAGAGTTGTTTTAAAACTGATATGATTGTACAGCTCTATGCAATGAGCAAAGCAAATGAAGGGCATGTGAGGGCTCTTCTGCCCTGAAAACAACTCTGTGGTGAGAGAGAGAGAGAGAGAGAGAGAGAGAGAGAGAGAGAGAGAGAGAGAGATAGAGAGATAGAGAGAGAGAGAGAGAGAGAGAGAGTTCGATGATAGAGAGAGAAACTCTCTCTTCTAGAGATACAGATTCTGTCTCCTCTTCTCTCTCTCTCTCTATCATACAGATCCGAGAGAGAGAACAAGGTTACAATTTCCAAGAAACTACAATTTCAACAATACAATACATTTGTACAGTTCATCAAAACAGATGCAATTCTCATTTAACAAATTCAACATTAGACTCCTAAACTGCCCAGCGGCACCAGGGAATCAAGACGCAGGGAGATCTGCAGGTTATTCAAAATTCGGTGCAGACCCCCCCAAAAAAGAAGAAGTGTGTGTGTGTGTGTGTGAGCGTTCGTGCATGCATGTGTGCGTCATGTGTGCTAATTTGTGTACTATCTTTGTCTAGTCCCGTGTAGCTCAGTTGGTAGAGCATGGTGTTTGCAACGCCAGGGTTGTGGGTTTGATTCCCACGGGGGGCCAGTATGAAAATGTATGCACTCGCTAACTGTAAGTCGCTCTGGATAAGAGCATCTGCTAAAATGTAAATGGAAACTATTGCTGGACAAAATAATGAGAGTTAGACAAGCACCATTAGTTCTTTGACACAAAAGATGAAGTGTCTATTTACTTTTCTTCTCTCTCTCTTCCTCTCCTTCTGTCTCTTCCCACCCTGCAGCTGTGTGAAAAGTCACACTTTCCTCCTAACTCAGCCTCTGCCCACTTCATATGTTAGCACTTTTTGCTGACAGAGAACACAACTACGACAAAACAACCAACAAATATTGGTCACAACTCCTGCAGTTCTGTCGCACACTGTGTCTGTACATAGTCAATGGTAGGCTTCGAGGCGACTGCTACGGTAGGTACACCTACAGCTCATCCCTTGGCAGTAGCACTGTAGATTACTTTATCACAGACCTCAACCCAGTCTCACAGAGCCCAGTCAGCCCACTGACACCCCTATCAGATCACAGCAAAATCACAGTCTACTTGAACAGTGCAATACTGAATCATGCGAAATCAAAGCCGAAATAACTGCCTATTTTAAAAAAAATGCATAGATGGAAGGAAGGTGGTATAAAAACCTACCAAAAAACAATTGCCTAACAACAAATTCAATTCATTTTAGACAACTTGGTTTGATGAAGAATGCAAAAACCTAAGAAAGAGAATTGAGAAACCCATCCAACCAAAAACACAGAGACCAAGAAAACCTGAGCCTTCACTATGGTGAAACACTAAAACAGTACAGGAATACACTAAGGAAAAAGAAGGAACAGCACATCAGAAAACAGCTCGATGTAATTGAAGAATCCATAAAATCGAACCACTTCTGGGAAAATTGGACACACTAAACAAACAACAACACGAAGAGCTACAGTATCTGTCCAAAATGGAGATGTATGGATAAACCACTTCATCATTCTTTTTGGCCCTATAACAAACAACAAACAGCAAAAACATATACATGATCAATTACAAATCTTAGAATCAGCTATTGAAGACTGCCAGAACCCACTGGATTCTCCAATTACACTGAATGAACTACAGGACAAAATACAAACCCTCCAACCCAAAAAGGCCTGTGGTGTTGATGGTATCCTAAATCAAATGATAAAATATACAGACCACAAATTCCAATTGGCTATACTTAAACTCTTTAACATCATCCTCAGCTCTGGCATCTTCCCCAATATTTGGAACCAAGGACTGATCACCCCAATCCACAAAAGTAGAGACAAATTCGACCCCAATAACTACCGTGGGATATGCATCAACAGCAATCTCAGGAAAATCGTCTGCATTATCATTAACAGCAGACTCCACACTTCTTCAGTGAAAAAATGTCCTGCGCAAATGTAAAATTGGCTTTTTATCAAATTACCGTACGACAGACCACGTATTCACCCTGCACACCCTAATTGACAAACAAACAAATAAAAAAAATTCAAAAAAGCTTTTGACTTAATTTGGCATGAGGGTCTGCTATATAATTTGATGGAAAGTCGTATTGGTGGAAAAACATACAACATTATAAAATCCATGTACACAAACAACAAGTGTGGAGTTAAAATTGGCAAAAAAACACAGATTTCTTTCCTCAGGGCCGTGGGATGAGACAGGGATACAGCTTGAGCCCCACCCTCTTCAACATATATATCAACGAATTGGCGAGGGCACTAGAACTGTCTGCAACACCCAGCCTCACCCTACTAGAATCTGAAGTCAAATGTGAACTGTTTGCTGATGATCTGGTGCTTCTACAGCAGCACCTAGATCTTCTGCACAGATTCTGTCAGACCTGGGCCCTGACAGTAAATCTCAGAAAGACAAAAATAATGGTGTTTCAAAAAAGGTCCAGTTGCCAGGACCACAAATACAAATTCCATCTAGACACCGTTGTCCTAGAGCACACAAAAAACGATACCTAACTCTGCCTAAACATCAGCACTACAGGTAACTTCCACAAAGCTGTGAACAATCTGAGAGACAAGGCATGAAGGGCCTTTTACGCCATCAAACGGAACATAAAATTTGACTTCCCAATTAGGATCTGGTTAAAACACTTGAATCAGTTATAGAACCTATTGCCTTCTACGGTTGTGAGGTCTGGGGTCCACTCACCAACCAAGAATTCACAAAATGGGACAAACACCAAATTGAGACTCTGCATGCAGAATTCTACAAAAACATCCTCTGTGTACAACATAAAACACAAAATAATGCATGCAGAGCAGAATTAGGACGATACCCACTAATTATCAAAATCCAGAAAAGAGCTGTTAAATTCTACAAACACTTCAAAGGAAGCGATTCCCAAACCTTCCATAAAAAAGCCATCACCTACAGAGAGAACACACATATGTAGAAAAGTACCTCATACCTACGGTAAAATATGGTGGTGGATATCTTATGTTATGGGGCTATTTTGCTTCCACTGGTCCTGGGGCCCTAGATTTTTTTTAAATTACTTGTTCAACTAAATCTCTTTCTCTGAGCAATTATATTAGTATAAAATAATATAATAAACACATTTTGGAGCATGTAATATAGCTCAGTATTTGTATTATTTATTTTATACAGTCTTTTTTGTTCATCTTTATCAAGAGTGCCAATAATTATGGACCTGACATATGTAGATATAGAATTGACTAGAATAGCACATAGGAGATGCAGCTGTGTTGCATTGACATTGTTCTATTCATGACACTCTTTAGCTACAGTGCATGTGCATCACCAGCGTAAGAAATACCTGCTTAATTCAGCTGAGAAGTGTGTGTCCACTCCATCTATTCAGTTTCTATGGTGATGTGGCTAATACCTTTGTTGTCATTCTCTCTCTCTTCCTCCAGCTCCACACTAAGAGTCCAGAGACTGAAGAGATAATCACACAGGAAAGGATCCTTCCAAAACATACACAGGGATCTGATCTGGAGAGAGTGTGTGTGTGAAGAGGGCGTGTGGTGTGTGTTCTTAACCCCCTCCACCCCTCCACTCCTTACCCACAATCCCGTTCTCCAACCTCCCCTGGGGCTTTACCCCCTGACCCCTAACCCCTGACCCCCAGCCATGATGTCGGGGAAGGGGAAGGCTAGCCCACGTCACCGGCCATGGTCCGTGTACCGGGCTAACACCTTTGACCTCTCGGCTGAGATGATGGGGCTGACTCTGGCAGGTAAGGGCCCTGTTACCATAGTTACCATAGTAACAGTATTCCTGTATGTTTGCCCACTGAGTTAATGCAGGCTGTCAAAATAAGTATGTGCATAAACTTGCCTTGTTAGTCGATGTAGTTGAGAAAAAAATAATATCTGTGTTCTTGTAGGTAACAGTCAGGACCCAGATGAGCCAGTGCTGGAGTTCAGTCTGGGTGAGTGGTGTTGCTGAAGTCAACTTCTCACACAGTTATTCAGCTTGACAACTTCTCACTCCTGTTCAATTGTCTTTGATTTATACAACAGTTAATAGCCGGCTTTTGTCCAGTTAAAAAAATAGAAAAGTCCATAGTCCAGCTCAAGGACAGAACTACATACATTTTTTACATGAAACCGCTCGAATGTGCAGTGCCCCTTTGACAACAGTGTTTTGCCGCTAATTACATTATGGAACGAACACCCGCACGTAGCCTGCTGCCTTGTGCACATTGCTGCGCTTATAATGTGAATAATTAAAAGTTTGTCAACATTTTAAGCTAAACGTTCTCATCTGTTACATCAGACTGTTGCTAGGCCTACTGGTTGTATGAATTTGGGATATATCGTCCCATAACTGTCCCAGGGTCTGTTTGGAATTAGCTATTTCTTTCTCGACAAGCTGACCAATAGAATAGGTAGCCTATACTTTTATATTATAGTAGATCGACATAGGCTAGTGATTTTGCTGTTCGTTACCCATGTTGTTGGCTGAGGAAAAGTAAATATGGGACAATTATTCTAACATGTTCAAAGCGCACATAAGAATTCGGTAAGAAGGACTGCACATCGTTGCTTCCTTGACTTGCATGTTCTGTTAATATGAATTACCATATTCTAAATGTGATTTCTGTCATTCTGAGCACTGTGGGCGGACGCCGTAATCTGTTTACACACCCAATGCATATGGGTCCGGTACATTTCTCAAATGTCCGGTAAATTAAAATGTTGCCGGTCAAATGGAAACCCTGAACAGCACCCATTGATTCTTGAAGAATAAAGTTTATAAATGCCTTAATGGGTTAGTACAACTGTCTTACTTATCATAACCCAAAATCTAAAGTTGCATTACTCTGTCTATTTATTTGAGAGAGGTAACAAATTACATTTCCCCAGCCCCATCCCTATTTTAGGGCCAGGATTGAGATGACAGATTTTGCCTTTAATGTTCACTTCCCTGTTGTACACCCAGCCTGCAGTGAGCTGATCACCCCAGCATTGGACCATAAACCGACCAGCTTTGTTGCGGTCAGCTGTACCACTCCTCCCCAGGCCTTCTGGACCAAACATGCTCAGACAGAGATCATAGAGGTAGAAAGACACCCAGAGATGGACAGTATTTCTGTCACATGTATTTGAAATACGAGTTTAATTACTTCTGAAATATAATCCAATGTATTTTGTAACTTTTCTATACCATTCTTTATAGGGGTTCACAATTTTGTGGCCCCCTTTCACCCTGCATTGGTATCAGAAGTCTGATGGCACTAGGGTGGGATAAGAGTGTCTGCTAAATTACCTAAATGTAAAAATTAACACTTGCAAAGCATGCTGGATATTATTATAATGAGCTCTGCCCCAAAACAAGGCCAATAATAATACAAATTTTCACATTTACATGTATATTTTGGTCATTTAGCAAACACTCTTATCCAGAGCGACTTACAGTCAGTGAATTCAACTAAGGTAGATAAACAACTACATATCACAGTCATTGCAAGTACAATGTTTTTTGTTACTGAGACGGCAGGTAATTTAGTGGTTAAGAGTGTTGTGCCAGTAACCGAAAGGTCGCTGGTACTAATCCCCGAGCCGACTAGGTGAAAAATCTGTCGATGTGCCCTTGAGCAAGGCACTTAACCCTAATTGCTCCTGTAAGTCGCTCTGGATAAGATAAATGACTTATTTATTTTATTTAGAATGTTGTTGTAGTGAAGGGCTGTTCTTCAAATGTATTTTGTATTTTGAAAATTTTTGAAAATACAAAATTGTATTTTGTATTTTATTTTGATACATTGGTCTTTGTAATTGTAGCAAAATAGCATCTTTGCCCATACCACATTGACCTAACCATAACAATACAGAACCACACTGCTCTACCACGCGTATCCCACTCCTTCTCTACTGTGACAATACCTCCTTTATGTTTGTAACCAGACTGATTCACCACAAATACTCTCTCTCTCTCTCTCTCTCTCTCTCTCTCTCTCTCTCTCTCTCTCTCTCTCTCTCTCTCTCTCTCCTCTCTCTCTCTCTCTCTCTCTCTTCTCTCTCTCTCTCTCTCTCTCTCTCTCTCTCTCTCTCTCTCTCCTCTCTCTCTCTCTCTCTCTCTCTCTCTCTCTCTCTCTCTCTCTCTCTCTAGGGTACTAGTAATCCTATCTATCTGAGCAGTATAGCGTTCTTCCAGGACTCTCTGATCAGTCAGCAGACGCAGGTCAAGCTATCTGTGTACGACGTCAAGGACCGCTCCCAAGGCACGGTACGAAATATCACCCTCTATAACTACTCCAACTCCCCCACTGCAGTCAACTGCCCCAAACCTCACAACCTTCCAAACTCTTCAACCCCAAACTAATCAAACACTCCACTCCCAGATGTACCTGATGGGGTCAGCCATGTTCCCTGTGAAGGAGCTGCTGCAGGACAAACACCACAGACTACACCTAACCCTCAGGTAACACACACACTCACACACGCACTCACACACACACACACACACACACACAACCTCCACATACACGCACGCACGCACGCACGCACGCACGCACACACACACACACACACACACACAACCTCCACATACACTCTCAGCTATTGTTAAACAGTAGGGCCAGGTATGGGTATAAGGGCCTAAGTACTGTAGAGACACCTATTACTGTCTGTCCCCAGGTCAGCGGAGAGCGAGCGCATCGGCAACATCACCATCATCGCCTGGCAGATAGAGGAGAGGAGGGAGCAGAGAGTCCCTGTCGCCCGGCAGGACACCATCAATGGCAGGGTGAGTGGCCTGGTCTGGTTCTTACTGAGGAAGAAGACCATAAGGTCAAAACTTAGTAATACCCATATTATCTGATTTGTTTGAAGATGTACCATAGAGTATGTACTGTAGGCCTACTTTGTAAAATGTTTGTTGGATTATTTTTTAGCACCTTTTCCTATTCTCTTTTCCTGGCTTACCTGTCTATGTTCAGATCACTGCCCTCTGCCCGAGGCTAGCTAGGGACTCAGCCATATTGCTTTCACTTGTTTGGTCAGTGGCGAAGAAGGACAAGGAGAAAGGTTAAATCCACATGGTAGAAACTCAGCCAGTCGGTTCAGGTCACTTGTCAACTGAAGGGTATCCAGGATGAATCATACAATGATGATGTCTGTTCCTTTTGTGTGTCTCAGATGGTACTTCCAGTGGATGACAGCCTGACTGAGTCCGTGAACATCAGGGCCAAGTCTGCGTCTCTGTGCAAAGACACACTGCTGAAGGCTGGTGAGTGTGTGTTCCAGTGTGTGTCAGTGTGTGTTTCTCTATTGGCAAGTGTGTGTTTGTCTTAAAGGGCAATTCCACCACTTTTCAACCTCATATTCATTATCTCCAGCACCAAACCAGTGTATGTGAAAACAGCACGCTTCTATAATCTGTGACATCACAGGGTAGGATAAAACATTTAATTTAAAAAACAGTGATTTTCAAAACCTGCAATGAGATTCTAGCCAGAGACATCACAAGGTATTTTCTTTATTGAGACATTTTCACAGACATGTTCAATCTATCCTCGTCTCAGTCTGTAATCCCAACATTTTTTTAACTGACCACCATTGTCCCTGTTCCCAAGAGCTCCAAGGTAACCTGCCTAAATGACTATCATCCTGTAGCACTCACATCTGTAATTATGAAGTGCTTTGAAAGGCTGGTCATGATACACATCAACACCATTATCCCAGACACCCTAAACCCACTCCAATTCGCATACTGCCTCAACAGATCCACAGATGACGCAATCTCAATTGAACTTCACACTGCCCTCTCCCACCTGGACAAGAGGGGAAATAACTATGTGAGAATGCTGTTCATAAACTACAGCTCAGCGTTCAACACCATAGTCCCCTCAAAGCTCATCACCAAGCTAGGGACCCTGGGACTGAACCCCTCCCTCTGCAACTGGATCCTGAACTTTCTGACGGGCTGTAGGGTAGGGTAGGCAACAACACCACCACCATGCTGACCCTCAACACAGGGCCCCTCAGGGGTGTGTGCTCAGTCCACTCCTGTACTCCCTGTTCACCCACGACTGCGTGGCCACGCACGACTTCAACACCATCATCAAGTTTGCTGACGACACGATGGTGGTAGGCCTGATCACGATGGTGGTAGCGATGAGTCAGCCTACAGGGAGGAGGTCAGAGAATTAGCAGTGTGGTGCCAGGACAACAACCTCTCCCTCAACGTCAGTAAGACCAAGGAGCTGATCGTGGACTTATAAGAGAAAGAGGGGAGAGCACGCCCCCATCCACATCGACAGGGCTGTTGTGGAGCGGGTCGTGAGCTTCAAGTTCCTTGGCGTCCACGTCACTAAGGACTTAACATGGTCCACACACACCCGCACAGTCGTGAAGAGGGCACGGCAGCGCCTCTTCCCCCTCAGGAGGCTGAAAATATCTGGCAAGGCCCTCGGATCCTCAAAAAGTTCCACAGCTGCACCATCAAGAGCATCTTGGTATGGCAAATGCACCGCCCTTGACCTCAAAGTGTTACAGAGGGTGGTTCGGACAGCCCAGTACATCACTGGTGGTGTCAGAGGATGGCCCGAAGAATTGCCAAAGACTCCAGTCACCCAAGCCATAGACTGTTCACTCTGCTACTGTCCGTCAAACGGTACCAGAGCATCGGCTCTCGGACCAACAGGCTCCGAGACAGCTTCTACCCCCAAGCTGTAAGACTAAATAGCCAGACTGCTAAATAGTCCATTAATGGTACCCAAACTATCTGCACTGCCTCTATCTTGCACTGACCCTACGCACACTCAAACCAAACCATATACACACTCACTCACACACACTACATTGACACTCCCACACAAAACCCACACACATTCACATACACTACATACGCCCACACACACACATAACACACACACGCAGACCGACACAACACAAACACACATACAGTGCTGTGAAAAAGTATTGGCCCTCTTTCTGATTTTCTCTATTTCTGCATTTTTTTATACTGAATGTTATCAGATCTTCAAACAAAGCCTAATATTAGATAAAGGGAACCTGCGTTTACAAATAACAACAAAAAATATATACTTATTTTATTTATTTAATTAACAGTTATGCAACACCCAATTCCCCTGTGTGAAAAAGTAATTGCCCCCTTACACTCAATAACTGGTTGTGACTGCAACCAAATGCTTCCTGTAGTTGTTGATCAGTGTCTCACATCCCTGTAGAGGAACTTTGGCCCACTCTTGCATGCAGAACTGCTTTAACTCAGCTACATTTTTTCAAGCATGAACTGCTCGTTTCAAGTCCTGCCACAACGACTTTGACTAGGCAATTACAAAACTTCAAATTTGTAGACTTGTGGACTTGATTGTGTGTTTTGGATCATGGTCTTGCTGCATGACCAAGCTACGTTTCAGCTTCAGCTCACAGACGGATGGCCTGACATTCTCCTGTAGAATTCTCTGATACATAGCATAATTCTATTGAGGCAAGTCATCCAGGTCCTGAGGCAGCAAAGCATCCCCAAACCATCACACTACCACCACCATGCTTGACTGTTGGTATGAGGTTCTTACTGTGGAATGCAGTTTAAAAAATAAAAGCATTCCACAGTAAGAACCTTATACCAATGGTCAAGCATGGTGGTGGTAGTGTGATGGGGATTGAGTGTAACGGGGCAATTACTTTTTCACACAGGGTCATTGGGTGTTGCATAACTTTGTTAATGAAATAAATGAAATAAGTATGTCATTGTTGTGTTATTTCTTCATTCAGGTTCCTTTATCTAATATTAGGTTTTGGTTGAAGATCTGATAACATTCAGTATAAAAAATATGCAAAAATAGAGAAAATTAGAAAGGGGGCAAATACTTTTTCACGGCACTGTACATACACATTACACACACACACTTTTACACTCATTTTGTGATGGGTGATTTGAAGGAGTCAGGCGCAGGAGGACAAATCACAGAATAAAAGGTTTATTCTGAACACAGTAGTACGCAGCAATGCCTCAAACACTTCAGTGCGGAAAATCAGGCGCACTGGAAACAACGAAAATCACAGGTGAAAATAACCCAGCGATACAAAATAACAAAGAGCTCCACCGAGCTAATCGAACCTCCACAATAAACAATCACACACAAAGACAAGGGGGCAGAGGGGACACTTATACAGGTACTGATGAGGGGATATGAACCAGGTGTGTGTAATAAACAAGACAAAACAAATGGAATGATGAGATGAGGAGCGGCAGTGGCTAGAAGGCCGGTGATGACGAACGCCGAAGCCTGCCCGAACAAGGAGAGGTGGAAGTCGTGACACATTTGCTGCTGCTACTGTTCTTTATTTTACTCTTATTATTATCTATCCTGATGCCTAGTCACTTTAACCTGCTTTCATCTACCTCAAATACCTTGTACCTCTGCACATTGGTCTGGTACTAGTACTTCATCTATATACTGTAGCTCCATTCTTGTGTATTTTATTTTATTCCTCTTGTGTTACTATTTTATTTCTATTTTAAGACTCTGCATTGTTGGGAAGGGCTTGTAAGCAAGCATTTCACGTTAAAGTCTACACCAGTTGTATTCAGCGCATGTAACAAATACAATTTGATTTGATTTGATTCCCGATGATGTCATCGGGTAGAACTTTTGAACCTTTTTACTATTTTTGTGTCGTAGAACTTTTTAACTTTTTAACTATTTTTGTTCTACAAAACATAGAAATGCGGGAGATAATGAAAATTTGGTTGAAAAGTGTTGGAATTGCCCTTTAAGTGTGTGTTTAAATGAGACAGTATGTATGTCCTTCTCTATTCATAGCATACAGAGAGTTTACATTTGAGGGTTCCTACAGATTTAGGAATTATGACTGACGCACTGCATCCCACTGCTGGCTTGCATTTGAAGCTAAGCAGGGTTGGTCCTGGATGGGAGATCAGATGCTGCTGGAAGTGGTGTTGGAAGGCCAGTAGGAGCCACTCTCTCCTCTGATCTAAAAAAAATATTCCAATGTCCCAGGGCAAGGACATTGCCCTGTGTAGGGTGCTGTCTTTTGGATGGGACATTCAACGGGTGTCCTGACTCTCTGTGGTCACTAAAGATCCCATGGCACTTATTGTAAGAATAGGGGTGTTAACCCTGGTGTCCTGGCTATATTCCCAATCTGGCCCTCATACCATCATGGCCACCTAATCATCCCCAGCTTCCAATTGGCTCATTCCTCTCCCCTGTAACTATTCCCCAGGTCGTTGCTGTAAATGAGAATGTGTTCTCAGTCAACTTACCTGGTAAAATAAGGGTAAAATAAATGCTTTTAATAAATTATGTAATTTATGTATTGACTGGTGTATTGCTGTGCTGTCAGTGTTTGGGGGCACCATGTCTCGTATGTACCGTTTCCCCACCACGGACGGGAACCACCTGCGTATCCTGGAGCAGATGGCTGAGAGTGTCCTCTCTCTACACATCCCTCGACAGTTTGTCAAACTACTGCTGGAGGAGGACGCTGTCAGGTACCATGCTATACACTGTTCAAATGAAGTGCTTTGTAACACTAAAACTAATGGCAGCTGAGCTGCCACCGACGTGAAGGAGACAAAACCTTAAATCATCCTGAGAGGTTTTGAAACATTACATGGTGTGCTGTAACACCACTTAATCAAGTGTTGAGCAACACCTTGCCAGGGACTGGGAACACTACTGGAAAAGTAAGTTTGAAAATACTCTTTCAGTATTTCGAGTTCTGTTTAGTTCAGAATTAGATACCTTCTCTTTTGGCGTCGTTTCCTCTCTCTGTTTCATATCCTGCCTAGTGCAGAATTAGATAACTTTTTCTGGAGTATTTTAATGTTTAACATTGGTTTATGTATCTGATAATTTGCCAGTTTAACCCATTTTGGCAGGAATTGTTGAGCACAGTGCTCAAACCACCAGCAGTGACTAGAGGTTTTACAGTAAGCATTGCAGGTTACTGTATTTGCCTCTAACAGGTTTTGTTCAGTGGAGGCTCCTCAGAGGAGTGAATTTCATAAAAATAAAAATAGTGAAACAAAAAAAAGTGATACTTTTTATATAAAACTATACTAAATATATTCACGTCACCAAATAATGTATTAAAACACACTGTTTTGCAATGAAGGTCTACAGTGGCCTCAACAGCACTCTGTAGGGTAGCACCATGGTGTAGCTGGAGGACAGCTAGCTTCCGTCCTCCTCTGGGTACATTGACTTATATACAAATCCTAGGAGGCTTGTGGTTCTCACCCCCTTCCATAGACTTGCACAGTAATTATGACAACTTCCAGAGTATGTCCTCCAACCTATCAGAGTTCTTGCAGCATGAACTGACATCTTGTCCACCCAATCAAAGGATCAGAGAATGAATCTAGCACTGAAAGCATAAGCTACAGCTAGCTAGCACTGCAGTGCATAAAATGTGGTGAGTAGTTAACTCAAAGAGAGAGAAAGACAATAGTTGAACAGTTTGAACAAAACCATTTCTTCAAAAATGAACGAGAAGAGAGAAAGAGAGAGCTAGCTATATTTAATATTTTTTTTCCCTTTCGCTGTAGGCTGTGTGTATCGGTTAGCATTTATGATATGAAGGTTTGGCTTGGAAAGGTTTTTTCACCTGGTCACAGACAGCTGGTGTGTTGTGCACTGAAGTCCACAAGGGAAGGGAAAAGGTGAGAGGAGGAGAGCGTGTAGGTACAAGAAGGAATAATAGAACGATCTGGCTGCTATGAAAGTGTACTGCTTTTGCGTGTGATCAGGGGTGTATTCATTCCGCTGATTCTTAAATGGAAGCAAACGTAACGAAACGGGGATAAACATACCTGAATTTGTCCAATAGAAACTCTTGTTTGCAACTGTTGGACTAAGGATTACACCCTAGATCAGCTAGATGCAGGCAATATTGTGCAAGGCAGTATTGAATGTGTCAATGTCTTTCACCTTCGATTACTCACCTTTTTCTCTGCTGTGCACCTACGTTGTAAACTTTCATTCATAGGCTAGGTTGTACCAACCTCATGATGGGTATAGGGAAAATAAAAGTATCATGTAGTAAGTAACCTAAACCTATAAATGTTACATTGAGCTGGGTGAACGGAATATGAATGACAGTCATCCAATATGCTGTAATAGAAATAAGGCCATGCTCATTAAAAATCCTCCCTCATCTTAAACGGCACCAACCGCCACTGGTTTTGATATCCGTTTATCATGATCCATTAGGCCTACACATCATGGCACAACATGCTGCTTAATACTAACATACAATATACTTTTCTTTCCTCAAACATGCATACGACATTGTGTACCCACAATCCTCTGAAAACAGAGCCACGTGTCAAGATAGGAAGTGCAAGGAGAGTTCAATCACTCAATTTCCTCTATCTTTGGTTATCCTCATAACATATACTTACATTTTGAGCAACATGTTAAGTTAGATTTATTTTTTAAATTAACAAATCATTGCATTCATTTTTATTAAGTATATTTTGGTTGCATTTCTTAACCAGTTGATTGTATGAGAAACACGGTCTGCAAAAATATATGTTTATTTTGTGTTTTGATGCTGCCTTTTTATGTGCACTGAAACTGCTAAAAAGTGTTTTCACAACATTCTCTTAAAAACACCAATATTCAGATTGAAGAACCACTTTGGGTGTTTGAGAGTACTTATATTCTGTTTTAAAACACTTTCTGTGTATCAGAACACTTACATTGGGTTTACATTCAAACACCCTCCAACCACCAGATCTCAGGTTAGGTGCACTATAATGGTGTTTTGAATCTTTTTACTCTTACAGTGTACTACTGTGTGTGTGTGTGTGCGTTTGTGTGTGTGTGTGTGAGTGCATATGTGTGTGTCCGTGCGTGTGTGCATGGATCACTGACTCTTTGTGTGTGTGTGTGTGTGTGTGTGTGTGCGTGTGTGCGTGTGTGCGTGTGTGTGTGTGTGTGTGTGTGTGTGCGTGTGTGTGTGTGTGTGTGTGTGTGTGTGTGTGTGTAGGGTGTGTGAATTGGAGGAGTTGGGGGAGTTGTCTCCATGTTGGGAGAACCTGAGGAGGGAGATTATTGCTCAGTACCAGACCATCATCCTCACCTACCAGGAGACCATCGGCGACCTACACGAATATAAAGGTTAGCGCCATAACCTTTATAAAACATTACATCAACATACCAGAAAACATAACAATCCTGCTAGACTGCACCTAAACATTTAAAAAACATATTACTAATATCACTGCTGTTAGTAACAAGTGTTAACAACACCGCAATGATTAGCCCTATAAATGGTATGCGAAATTAATGGTATTTTAAATGAACTTGGACATCTGACATATTCATAACATGAATAAAAAACACAATGTCCAAATGTAAAAGTTTATATAAAATATAATACATTTGGTGTACAATTTATAGGGCTATGCAATGATATGCTATAACATATCACTACAGATATATCAGAAACCTGTTACATTAGCACTGTTAGCTCTATAATATAATATTTAATATCACTAATGCATCAGTAACATGCAAAAGTACAATAGTTGGCATCATCATAACATATCCACCCTACTCCTCTTCCAGGTCCCTCCTTTAAATCCAGTACTCTGAAAGCAGAGAAGAAGCTGGAGTTTATCCCCACTAACCTACACGTCCAGAGGATGAGAGTACAAGGAGAGTCTGGCTATGGTAGGGGACCTGTTATATCTATCAGTCTCTATGGTAGGGGACCTGTTATATCTATCAGTCTCTATGGTAGGGGACCTGTTATATTATCATCTCTAGGTAGGGACCTGTATATCTATCAGTCTCTATGTAGGGGACCGTTATATCTATCAGTCTCTATGGTAGGGGACCTGTTATATCTATCAGTCTCTATGGTAGGGGACCTGTTATATCTATCAGTCTCTATGGTAGGGGACCTGTTATATCTATCAGTCTCTATGGTAGGGGACCTGTTATATCTATCAGTCTCTATGGTAGGGGACCTGTTATATCTATCAGTCTCTATGGTAGGGGACCTGTTATATCTATCAGTCTCTATGATAGGGGACCTGTTATATCTATCAGTCTCTATGATAGGGGACCTGTTATATCTATCAGTCTCTATGATAGGGGACCTGTTATATCTATCAGTCTCTATGATAGGGGACCTGTTATATCTATCAGTCTCTATGGTAGGGGACCTGTTATATCTATCAGTCTCTATGGTAGGGGACCTGTTATATCTGTCAGTCTCAATATCCTTTATATCCATCTTGTTCAATGTAATTCTCCACAGCAAGCATGTTTATATCTGTCTAAAAGTGCTCTCTTCCCCTTCACCTCCCTCTCCTCCCTCCTCCCTCCTCCTCCCTCTCACCCATCTCTCCTCTCCCTCCTCCCTCTTCCTCCCTCCCTCCTTTCCTCCCTCCCTTTCCTCTCCCTCCTCTCCCAGACAGGACCTATGACATAGTGACTATAGGAGCGCCAGCAGCCCACCACCAAGGCTTTAAGCACTGTGGTCTCCGGAAACTCATCCACAAGTTTGAGGAGGCTAGGAAACAGTGAGACAATATTTTCTGGAGCGAATGGTCGGGTGGCCGGAACATAGTTTTGAATAATTTGTACACTGCAGATTTTTTTACCTTGATTGTATTGGAATATGATCACATATGCCTCTTTATTTATGCGTGGGAATATTTGGGAACAGATTTCCTAAATTAAAATAACTTTGAGCTGATTTCCTGGTGATCTTACAGTCTTTTATGTCCAACACCAAAATAAATTATTAATATTTATTTGCTTAGAAAACTTGAGAGGCCAAATAAAATCAATTGGGGCTGCCAATTGGGGAACCCTGCTATAGATACATAATTTAATCATTTAATTGTTATCATTGATTTAGATTTCTAACCTTTGATTGAAATGTCTCCTTTTTGCTTGCTTTCTGATCAGTGCATATGAGGAGGAATGGTGAGATCTGTCACCTGCTCTGTTTATGTGTGCAGTTTCAATGGATTTGTTTGTTTGTGTTCTGTATTACATCGTTTTAAACCAGCACATTTTCACCCTTGATCGCGCTCTCTCGCTCTCTCTCTCTCATTCTCTCTCTCTTTCTTTCTCTCCCTCCCACTCACACACACACATATAAACACACACCTACCAGCAGTGCTGGGTCTGGCTCTAAGCTGGTGGCCTACCTGCCTCAGGACGTGGTGAGAGCGAAGGAGCTGATTGGTCAGATCAACACCTTGAAGACCCAGGTGTGCTACTACATCGAACGTTTGTCCCGCGCTGCCAAGGAACGCTCAGCTAACGCTCTGGAGAGAACCCTCACCATTCTCTCTGAGAAGGTATGAAAGGGTGAGAGAGGGAGGCAGGAGGGGAGGGAGACATGTATCTATCTATACAATCAATATGTATTTCACTGTATTAATATACACTATTATATTTCCCTTGTCTCCTCCTCTCCATGTCTCTCCTCCATATCTGTCCCCCTCTCCCTGTCTCTCCTCCATCTCTCTCCTCCTTTCCCTGTCTCTCTTTCATCTCTATCCCCCTCTCCAGACTCGTCAGTTGGTGACAGTGTGTGACTCTAAGCTGCTGTCCTCTGCCATCCTGGCCCTCTCTGCCGCCCGTCCAGAATACATTTCCCAGAAGGGCACTCCCTCCCCCTCCTCCCTCACTCCTTCTCCCTCTCCATCCCGCTCCCCCTCTCGCCACGCTACCTCCCCCTCTCGCCAATCCACCTCCCCCTCTCGCCACTCCATCTCCCCTCGCCACTCCGTATACCAGGAAGGAGAGGGGGGGAGAGGCAAGCGCTCCTCCCTACAGGCTGACTGGCACGAGGAGAACTGGGTAAGATGACATTGATATCTTTTGTTTAAGAATTGAGAATAACAACAATATTGTATGGAATTTATATAGAAAGTGTATTCCATATTTAATCATATCACATCCCTCTCTCTTTCTGTCGCTGTCAACCCCCCCTCAGGAGAAGGTATGGTTGAATGTGGATAAGAGTCTGGACTGTGTGATCCAGAGGGTGGACAGACTGCTGGCCAAAGACAGACTGCAGAGTGACAGTAGCAGTGAGGATGTGTTCCTGGATGCTCAGCAGCAGACCAATGCCACTACTAAGAAAGGTAAACACACACACACTTCATACAGTCAAATGAACTGACTGAAATTAGGCAGCTGTTAAAGTAAAACAGGCACACTGATTGATTGGTTAATTGTTTAATTGACTGGTTGATTGGGTCAGGGGATAAAAGTGAATGTATGTGAATCCCTTGAGGTATCCATGGAAACAGAGAAGCCTTCTGGATACACCCAGAATCTTCATCCCCTGCTCTTCCTCCATCATCATCATCATCATCCTCATTGTCATCATTCCCTTATCTGACCATCACATGTCAGTCAAACCATGAAAGACAACAGCACTGTAGGTTCATGTCCACTTTGACTCCTCCATATTGTAATATTGTTCTGTATTATTCTTAACTAGCAGACATACACTCACAAATGCACACACCCACTCTGTCCTTAAAGTAAATATGTTTTTATCATCTCCCCTTTAGACAGCAGCCCAGAGGTAGAAAAGGAAAAGCCCTCCCCAGGTAAGAACAATAATGTGTGAGTGTGTCTATAGATATACTGTATAACCTCTCTCCTTTCTCTACCAGGTGAATGGAGTGAGGCCTTGTACCCCCTCCTGACTACCCTGTCAGAGTGTGTGTCTCTGATGAGTGACAAGGCTAAGAAGTCCATGGTGTTCCTCCTAATGCAGGACAGTGCTCCCACCATCGCCATGAGCCTCACGCTACAGTACAGAAGAGATGTGGTCTTCTGCCAGACGGTGGGTTTACACACACACACACACACACACACACACACACACACACACACACACACACACACACACAGATGCACACAAAGATGCGAGCACACACATACGTACACAGATACGTGCGCACACTCACACACACACACACACACACACACAATTATATTAGTATGATTGATGTTCTACATCGGACATTATTGTTGTATTGATCTATAACATTATTATTATTATTAATGATTAATAGTTGTATTGATGATTATATAGATTATTTATATTTGTATAGATGATTTATAGTTGTATTGGTGTTTCCCCTTCTGTAGCTGTCAGCTCTGATCAGTGGCTTCATCATCAAGCTGAGGAACTGTCTCCACGACGATGGCTTCCTCAGGCAGCTCCACATCATCGGCCTGCTAGTCCAGTATGAGGGCCTTCTCAGCACCTACGGTAACCTGCTGACTGTGTGTGTGTGTGCGTTCTTGAATTTATGTCTTAGAATACACACACAAATATGTTGATTTGAAACCTGCTATTTTTTAAATACTTTATTTATAGATTTTCAAATATGAGAACTGAAACCTATTCTTACCCCTTACTCTCTTCAATCTTAAAGGGGAGGAGCTGGCCATGTTGGAGGACATGAGTGTTGGCGTGATGGACCTGCGAAATGTCACCTTAAAGGTTACCCAGGCAACCTCGGTCTTCGGCCCAGATATGCTGCCTGTCATCACCGGGAACCGGGACGGCTTCAACGTCAGGGTTCCGTTACCAGCGGCGATGTTTGATGCGTTGCCACGGGAGATCCAAAACGGGATGCTGCTGCGGGTTCAGCCTGTTCTCTTCAATGTGGGAATCAATGAACAGCAGACACTGGCCGAGAAGTGAGTGAACGAGAGAGGAGAGGGGAGGAGAGATGAGGAGAGACAAGGAGAGGAAAGGAGAGTGGGAGAGGTTATAAGAGGATTGAAGGAGATATGGGATAAGAGGAGAGGTGGAGAGAAGAGAAGACAGCAGCACAATGGAAGAGAGAGTTAAGAAGGGGTAGTCAGGATGTGTGTTACCATGGCAATGGCAGCCAGCTGACATTTGTGGTAATACCATATAAGTGATGATTGTTACCTTGAATAATCACGAGCGTCTGGTTATTGTGTGTTTTCGAAGCGTGTTTATTAGATTTGCCAGTACAGACTAGAAATGATATGTGCTTGCACATAAAAAAGTATTATAAAAAAAAGAAATGCTATGGTAATTCCTCAACAATGCCAATGATGGAGACCGTGAGAACATTAGGTCTACTCCCTATAGACTGTAAGAAATTATGATGTGTTGTAGCTTTGCTTAATGAGCAGTACAGAGAAATCCAATCTATCTGTGTGTCTATAGGTTTGGAGACACATCTCTCCAGGAGGTGATTAACATGGAGAATATGGCTCGTCTCAGCTCCTACTATGACCAGTTTAAAGAGGTCCTACCTGAGGAATGTGAGTCACATACCCTCATCTTAACCTCAACCACTAATAAAGTGGTTAACAACCTGGTTCTTAAAATGTACGTCAGTGCAATAATACTCCTCTCCTCTCTCTCCAGGCCTCCCTTGTACCCGTAGTCAGACCAGCCTGCCTGAGCTGCTAAAGCTGCTGAGTCAGAACATCAACGCCAGGAAGAGCAAGAACGTAGAGATCCTGTGGCAGGCAGCAGAGGTAGAGACATTCTCGCCTTTTCTTTCTCTCTCCACAAGACACTTCTATCATTGACTGAATGAGCTGAAGTCTGCCTGACTCTCTATTCTTCTCCATTCATTCCTCTACTCTACTCTCCTCTCCTCTCCTCACCCTTTCTCCTCTGCCCCAATCTTCTTTCTCTCTCTCTATCTCCCTGTCTCTCCCTCCCCAGGCGTGTCGACGTCTGAACGGAGTGCGTTTTACCAGCTGTAAGAGTGCTAAGGACCGTACAGCCATGTCTCTAACCCTAGAGCAGTGTCTCATCCTCCAGCAGGAGCACGCCCTGGCCCCACAGGTCTTCTCCCAGGCCCTTGACTGCATGCGCAGGTCAGCTGGCCACACAACTGCCTGAACAAAACGAGACAAGACATGTAGCGTTTATCATGTAACATTTGAGGAAAGGAAGAATTATGTCAATGTATATAATAACTTGATGTTTTCCTATACCCTCTAACTCTATCTCCTCTTACCTTTTAACCCATCACCCCCTCTTTTCTCCTCCTCTCTAAACTCCTCTCCTCCCCCCTCTCCTTCTCTCTACTCTCCTTTCCTTCTCTCTCCTGTCCTTTACTTGACCCTCCCCTCCCCCCTCTCCTTCTCTCTCTCCTCTCCCCTCCTCTCCTCCTCCTGATAGTGAGGGCTGCAGACGAGAGAACACCATGAAGAATGTAGGATGTCGTAAATACGCCTTCAACTCCCTCCAGCTGAAGGCCTTTCCCAAACTGTACCGCCCACCTGAGGGCACCTATGGGAAAGTAGAGACCTGAATGGACAAACCAGCTGCCCATCTCTCAAAGTAGCCAATAGAAGGGGAAAGGGACTAAACAACGTCAACAACAACATAAAAGCAAAACAACATCACAAAAGCAACTGCCCCCTTTATATAGTGCTGCATCCCTGTTGATGATTTCATGTTATCTGTGGTAGATTGTTTGATAGCAGTTCACTCTCTTTTGCGATTAGAATCGCTCCATTATGTCATGACAACCACTACACGCACACAACAACAACAATAACAATAACTTAAGAACAACTTTTCAAATCCATTGTCACATATTGTTTTGGACCTAATTGTAGAGTTGTACTTGTTTTAGTTTTATTTAGAAAGGGAGGGAAAGGGGGATACCTAGTCAGTTGCACAACTGAATGCATTCAACTGAAACGTGAGCTCTTATCATAAGGCCTGTGTTCTAACCACTGTCTCTCATGGAACTTTAAAAATAAAATTCAAATCAAGTACATTTAAAGAGAACAAAACCTTTGTATGCAGAGAATCAATGTCTTACTTGCTCACACACTCCACTCCTACAACAAGCACAGTGAACTGATGATATACAGAGATCAGACATAGACATACTTGTATCTCTGATGTATGAAGAATATCCCATCTAATGTTATTTTGTTATCCTTTTTCTATTTGGTAATACATCTACTGGACAGGGTTTGTGCAAAGTAGAGGGCCAGTATCCTGTGTTTTAGTTTTACAGCAAAGATATTGTGTAAGCAAGGCTTGGTAGTCTACTGAGAGGCATAGACAGTTACAGTGGTCAAGGTTAATCTTTCACTTGCCACTACAAGTTTAAAGTTTTACATTTTGTCATTGAGTGCATGGTACAATGCTCCACTATATAAGATGCAAGCATGGATAGAGTTCACACACAGCAAACTTAATCCAAAAACAACACAAATAAATGATGTGCCCACATGCGTGTAGATTTTATTAAACTGAAAAGGAATATAGGATCCAAATCTTGCACTCCCCCCCAACCCCTCTCTGTTCATGAAGTTGTTTATATACATGTCCAGGTTCTAGATGATAGGCATATTTACTTTACATCAGACTATAGACTGAGCCAAACTAGAATATTAGCTTAGAGTAAGGAACAGTGTCATAAGAAAGTTCCTCCTCTTACTGTATGTCTGCAGCTATTCTCTGTGAGTTCATCTCATCTCTTATTAAAAGAGCTCCTGGTTGATTTCACGACAGGACCAAAACACAACACTGGCTTATTAATTGTAAAACCAATGGAGCGAAAAGGAAGTGTCTTACTTTTGAATGCATGTAGATAGAGAATCCTCACATTATCATTGTACTTTTGGAAATAAGGGACTTGTACACTGAATAGAAGCCTGTTTAAAATGGACAGTGTTTTGCGTTAAATTGTACTGTGAACCTTTCACTGGCTTCTGTTTCCATGTTTACCTATAGATTTTATTGTACATTACAGAGACATTTAAAACATTTGTTTAAACCTTATTCTGCTAAATATTATTGATGCTGATGCACTGAAAATTGCTGAAAAACGTTGCCAAAATGCTGCCAGAGTTTTATCCATTTAATTTTACATGTAGTTTATTTGTCTTTGTATGTAATGAACGTTATTGAACCGCACACTTTCAGGTAGGAACATCTGTATAGGTATAGGCTTTGCTGTAAAATGTGCTTTCATAAACTCTCCTCTGTAACTTGAGCTATTAAAATGAGAGCATTAAACTGTTTCACCATATTCTGTGTGACATTTTAAAGTATCCCTCTGGTCTCTATTGTCTGTCTTGTCTGTCTGCACGCATGCATACACACACACACACACACAGTTCTAAACTGTCTTGAAAAGGCCTCTTTAAAGGGATAGTTCACCCAAATAACAAAATTACACATTGGTTTCCTTACCCTGTAAGCAGTCTATGGACAAGATTTGACAGCAATCCATGATTTGGTTAGTTTCCCTGGCACTGTTTCCACATGCTAACGTTTTGGGATTTGTGGCACAAATCCTATTCAAGTCATGGGACCAATATTAGCAATTTCATTAATATTCATAAGACTTGACCTAGAACCCATCGCGTCCTTTATCTGATCTTCCCTGTTTTCGTTTTGCTCCACCATTTTGCTTCCTGTCTTTAAGTTTGGTGTGGGTTTTATTTTGTTTGCCTCTTCTTGGGCAAATGTAGTGGGCACTCATGGTGGGTAACCTTTAGGCCCCAGTTGTTGTTGCTAGTAAACTTTCAGTGGACACCCCCATGAGTGTCTTTCAGAACCCCTTCTAAAACCCCAACTGTTTCGTTTTGGTTATTGTCAGTGACTCTTTGTTAGTTCTACCTTCTGTTTGAGCGACAATTTTGGGTTTTCTTGCTGGGGCACACAAGCTACATTAGCCAACTGGTTAGACATGATTACACCACGGTCAACAATAACTGGCGACTAGTTCATTTTCAGACAAGTATACACTGCCGGTCAAAAGTTTTTAGAACACCTACTCATTCAAGGGTTTTTCTTTATTTTTACTATTTTCTACATTGTAGAATAATAGTGAAGGCATCAAAACTATGAAATAACACATATGGAATCATGTAGTAACCAAAAATGTGTTAAATAAATCAAAATATATTTTAAATTTGAGATTCTTCAAATAGCCACCCTTTGCCTTGATGACATCTTTGCACACTCTTGGCATGCACTTTAAAAGTTTGTTTGCAGACCGCCATGATATCATAGAAGAAGAACATGCTCAAGAAGGCTCAACCAATCACCGAAGGGTTTTTGCGTGGCTGATTGGGCTGCATGACAAGTCGACCAGTGCTCGGGTGTTGTATCAATGTGCCTGCCGACTTGAAGTGCTTCCTACTGGGTATCATGGTCGTGTCGCTGGCGGTAGCTCGTGGCCATTTTTTTCTTGTCACCTTGATACACTATGTCCAGCAATGGAGTGGGGCTACCTAGTACATTTTCTTTTTTTACATTTTAGCAGACGCTCTTATCCAGAGCAACATACAGTTAGTGAGTGCATACATAATTTTTTTATTTCTCATACTTGCCCCGCCATGGGATTCGAACCTGCAACCCTGGCGTTGCAAACACCATGCTCTACTAACTGAGCTACATCCATGCCGGCCATTCCCTCCCCTACCCTGGACGACACTAGGCCAATTGTGCGCCGCCCCATGGGTCTCCCGGTTGTGGCCAGCTATGACAGAGCCTGGATTCAAACCAGGATCTCTAGTGGCACAGCTACCACTGCGATGCAGTGCCTTAGACCACTGCGCCACTCGGGACTAGTAGCCAATATCATGGTGACAGTCACAGTAAGCATATGCATACAATGCATGAAGCAACTGTACACCCATCATCAATACTTTTATTCAAAAAATAAACAATTGTCAGTTTTATAACAGAAAATTTACAATTGCTTGTGTAAAACCAGTGCTTGACTTGGGCAGGAGCTCACCGGAGCTGAGTACCGGCACCTCAGCTTTTCTACTGCTTTAGCTCCTGTTCCTCTTTCAGAATATTATCTCAAAAGTATTGTGGAGCTCCTACACCTAAATATAAACAGTACCGGCACCCAAAATGAGTACAGGCACCGATTTCAGTCCAAGTCAAGAGCATCTTCTTCTTCTATGATATCATGGCGATCTGCAAACAAACTTTTAAAGTGCATGCCGCCACCTACTGTGCTGGAATGTACGATCAATCATGATCTGCCCAATTCTGTACTAAATCAAATAAAAAAAACTAATAAATACCTACTAACTTCTACCATACCCTCCCCCTCCCCTCAAAAAACCCTCCCCAACCCCCTTACCCTATTAAATCAATATCATGCTGAAACACTCCACCCTTAGGATTGTTCAGCATGTCAACAACCATTTCAACAGTAACATCTGTTACGCCCCAATATCTCTTTTGCCGTCTCCACAATAACCTTCAACCTGGCATTTTTGCTTTACACAACCCAAGTGGTATTGATAACCTTACCAATAAAAGCTATGAAGTCAACTTTATTCATTATTAAAGTGTCCTTTGACACCGCACATTCATGAGTGCAAGATTTCTGAACAGGCCTCGAAACCATGCCAGGACCAGCAGAAGCACGAGCCCTGACAGTAGGTCCACTTGGTACAGGAACATCCATGTTAGCTCCATCAGTCCACACTGTAGTTCTACCAATCTGTCTTACAGCCTCTGCATATGATACATCATGACTGATCCTATATATCTGAGCCTCTCTAGCCTCAAGTCAAGCACTATGTAAAACTAACAGTGAAATACGACTCAGACTCAAGCAGAAGTCTGCCCATACTCCGGTCGCCATATTGGGATGCAGCGACCCTCTTCTCCAGATTTTCCCAAAACGGATGTCCCAACCCGGAAACGAGAGAAGGCTTTACAAGGGTGATGCACTGTTGAGTGCTACATCCCGAGGGGTTCGTGCTGATTGGGGATGCACCGTTGAGTGCTACATCCCGAGGGGTTCGAGCTGATTGTACAGAGATTGTGGCAGCCGGTTAAATGGTGTCCATTGACAAGGCAAGAACAAGATGTATGTCAGGAGAAGTGCCGTATTATCATAAGGAGACATACTTGGAATATGGAGGAGGAATGGAGGGAAAAAGAGAGGCAGAGGAGGTCTAAGAGAGAGAGGGAGGAAGAGGGTGAGCTTGAGTCGGTTAAAAATGGCAGAAAAAAGGGAGATGGTTTGTTAAAGAAGAATGGTAGAAAGTGTAAGCAGAGTGAGTTGAAGACATGAGGAGAAATGGAAGTGAATGACGGCGAAGTATCGGAGGTGGTAGGTGTGGTGAAGTTCTCGGAGCACGAGGCTTGTACCGAGGGTCAGGATAAAGATGAGTCTGTGACAGTAGGAGTGACGTTTTTGGAAAAAGTGGACCCTTGACTTTTGGCTGATCCACTTGCGGTTTCAGGGTGGGTGAAAACAGAGTTGGATGCTGTGGAATCGGTGAGGGTAACCAGAAGTGGTCTTGTAATAATTGTTTGTGTTTTTGCTGGTCAGAGGGAGCAGGCGCTCTGTGTTAAACGAATGGGGGCAAGAGATGTGTATTGTTTTGCTCTCAAGAAAAGGGTGCCATTGAAAGGAGTGATTACTGGGGTAGAGGTAAATGTGAAAGCTGACCAACTGAAGGGGAAGATTCCCAGTGTTTGTGATGCTCGTTGTTTGGTGCGACGCAGACAGAATGGCATGAGTGATGAAACAGAAGAGTCATTGTCTGTTCTTTTGAGTTTGGATGTTGAGTCTTTGCCCGACAAAGTGATGTTAGGATATATAAATTATCCTATACGAGCTTTTGTGCCAAATACATTACGTTGTTACAGGTGTCAAGTTTATGGGCATGTGGCA